CCAGGACACAATTACAAACAAAGGGTTCAAGCTAGTTCAGCTACCAGAGACGTTAAAGCCACAGTTACGATGGTGGCTGGAATACTCCTGCTTCCACCAGGGCCTTTTGCTTTGAGTGCCAAAACGGATAGTAATGACTACGGATGCGAGTCTCTCAGGCCGGGGAGCTCATTCCCAGGGAAGGACGACACAAGGCCTCTGGTCACAGGAGAAAGCGATCTTGAGCATAGATTTTCTAGAGCTCAGGGCCAGCAGACTAGGGCTGCTGAAATTCAGCAAGCTTCTATCAGGGTACCACATTTTAGTCCAGATGGACAATACAACAATGAAGGCATACATGAACAGACAAGAGGGGACCAGGTTCAGAGCCTTGCACAACGAAGCAAGCAGACTCATCAGAAGGGTGGAGAACCATCTCCAATCTCTGAAGGCAGTACATGTGGCAGGATTGGTTGAGCAGAAGAGAACTAGACCAGTTGGAATGGATGCTCTGCAAGAGTTCTCCATCAAATCTGCGACAGGTTCAGGATGGTGGAGATGGATCGGTTCGCCATGGAATCAGAATAGTCAAGTACAAAGATTTATGTCGAGGACAAGAAATCAACAGGCAGCAGAAACCAATGCACAGTTGTTAACCACTACACCAAACAGGCAGCAGGAACCAATGCACTCAGTTGTGATTGGCCACAGGGTCTGCTGTATGCTTTTCCACCATTTCAGCTGATACAGAGGGTGATTCAAAACCCAACAGAACAGAGGGCAGTAGCTCTAAATGCACCCTTCTGGCTGAGAAGACTTTGGTTCCAGGACCTGAAAAGACTGTTGATAATGGAAGCCTAGCGACTTCCTCTGAGGAAGGACCTTCTGTCACAGATGTCGATGTGGCACCTTCATCCAGCTCTACTAAAGCTCACAGTCTGGAGATTGAGTGGCAACAACTAGCAGAGATGGGGTACCCAGATAGGGTTATCAAAACCATGCCAACCTCTAGGAGAGGGTCCACTAATAGAGTGTATAACATGACTCGGCAGGTATTCCATAAGTGGTGCTCAGAACATAGTTTGGATCCTTCAAAAGTGTCAGTCGGAGGTATTCTATCTTTCCTTCAAGATGGCTTAGACAAAGGCCTAAGCAAAAGTACATTAAAGAGGCAGGTAGCGGGTATTTCAGCAGTGGAAGGGGGCACATAAGGGAAAATCAGCATCCCCATGTCAAAAGGTTTCCAAGGGGGACTAGGTTGTTGAATCTGCCTCAATCTCAGCAGTTCCCTACCTGGAACGTTAATACAGTCCTAAGAGCACTGTGCAAGACAGCATTTGAGCCCACGGCGTCGTGTCCACTGAATGAGCTGACTTTTAAAACCTTATTCTTAGTGGGGATTACCTCAGCCAGACGAGTGTCAGAACTGTGGGGCCTGTTGATTGATAGAGAACTGTGTGTTTTTCACAATGACAGAGTGGCCTTGCGCCCAGACCTGGCATTCATCCCCAAGGTAAATTACTTATTCCATAGGTCAGAGGAGACTGTACTGCCCCTCCTTTTGTTCCAATCCTAAACATGATAAGGAAAAGGAGTGGCACTGTTTAGATGTCCGTAGAGCTCTCAGCTTCCACTTAGATAGGACCAAGCAGTGGCGCAAGTCAGATGCCTTATATGTGTCGTTTAGGAAATCACCCCTAGGTCGGCGGGTCTCAATTTCCACTTTGAGTAGATGGCTGAGGGGATGCATTATAGTAGCCTACAAAGCCAAGGATATGGAGCCACCCATGGGAATCAAGGCACATTCCGGGGGGGGAGGGGGGACCTACTTCAGCAGCATACAGATCTTTTCCATCTCTAGAGACGATCTGTAAAGCAGTCACTTGGAAGTCAGTACATTCTTTTACCAGGCACTACCGAATAGATAAGCTAGCCTTGGTTGAGGCAGCTTTCGGCCGGAGAGTGCTGCAACACACCCTGTAGACCAAGAAGCCGAGAACCCGCCCTGGAGCACACTCCTTTTTTATAACCCTAGAATGAAGGACTGCCCCACTCCCAGGGCCACTGGAGAATGGAAGATTTCTTCACTTACCGTGAAGCTTCCTTCTCAGTGGTCCAGGAGTGGGGCAGTCCTACCCACCCATTTTAGGGAGGGCAGATTCTGGGTTTTGGGGGGGTGTTGTGACTGGGATGACCAGTCCAATGGTTTCCTCTCAGGTTTGCAATGAGTAGGGAAGAGGACAGTAGAGAACAGGAGGGCAAGACTAGTTAGGAAAGGACTAGAATGTTTCAATGTTTCTTTGACATTGAGTTTGAGTGTCGACAGTTTGGTTTTGATTTTCACACCCATTCAGAGAAGTGTGTTTTTGTTCTGCATTATCATGGGGGAATAATGCCTTGGAGATGACTGGGGTGGTCCCACGGGACAGGCCCCCTCCCCCGCCTGGATCGATTTCGAGAGAACGACCCTGCTTCCAGAGGAGGAGCCTGATCCCAAGAGTGAAGGACTGCCCCACTCCTGGACCACCGAGAAGGAAGCTTCATGGTAAATCTTCCATTCTTCTCTGTCTCTTCTACTAGCCCAAGACCTGAGGCCTCCTCCACCACCACCTCCTGAGGTGCCCCTACTACCTCTGCTTCTGCCTGAGCTTCAACCATGAAAGAAGACACTGATGACTCTAATAATTCTGAAAGCTAAGGTTGCTGTCACTGCAAGTACTGTTATGGACAGAAAAAATAATACTTTTTATGATACACATTGAGTGTGCTTAGATGACCTCTTAAACAAAAAAAGGTCTTCAATATTTAGAAAACATTGTGTTTTGATGGTTTAACTAATGAAGAATAAACCTGTTATATAAAAAAAACATCAGCCAATTGTGCAAGCTCCAGTTGCATAACTAAAACCTGCACACAGTTGTGTAAAAAAAAGAAAAAAACATTGTGTTTTGATGGTTTAACTAACGAAGAAAAAACTTGTTCTGTTATATAAAAAAACTCAGCCAATTGTGCAAGCTCTAGTTGCATAACTAAAACCTACACACAGTTGTGTAAAAAAAAGAAAAAGATCAACTCTAAAAATAACAGCACGCTTTGTTTTTAGGTGAGGCATATCTTACACAAAAGGGAATGCCTCACTCAAACTGCAATTCATATTTAAGACTTTTAAAATCTGCTGCTGGATTAGGGAGATACTTTTCATTCAAACATTTTTCAAATTTCACCAAACATATGCTTAACTGGATAATTTAGCCAATTACTGATTAAATACTGCAGCCCTATTTGTAATTCTTTATATTAAAAGCCACTTTTAGATTCTCCATGCAGGACACACCCTGGAATTTTGATAACAGGACAACATATATTGAAAGTTCTCCTTGAAGAAGTGGAAAAAATGGGGGGAACCCACAGCGCTGAAGAGAAGGGGTGGTAGGAGGAGAGCCATGATCCAGCCAAAGTTTCATTTACTTCAGTGGGGAAGATATAAGCATACCCTTAATTCTCACATTCAAATGAATGAGATACACAAGCATTTAACTTTGGCTGGATCGTGCCCAAAGCCTTGTCAGCAGGTTCAAAGTTGTACCACATCCCTATACGGAATTCTGCATTACATGTGTATTTTCACACCTATTTTTAATCTCTTTTGCTTCCAGAAACTAACAACAATCCTCAACTTCTTATCCTCGGAACTGGTAACAGATTCCTTCCCAACACATCTCAGTTATTGCAAATTTAATTTGCAAATATTAAGTCACCCCATGGAGCTATTTAGAGTGGTCTCTACATGGCAGCTGTAACAGGCAATTCTATTCTTTCTTGAACTGAGAGGCTACCGTCATTAAAAATACAGTAAAACAGGTTTCCCCCTCTCCCAGCACAAGGCCCCTGTTCCCCCATTATTCATAACAGAAACTCCACAGCCAGTCTTCCATTTAGTCCTTCTCAGAGGGAGTCAATTGCACGCCAGTGTTATCGCCTTCCTCCAATTGGTCCTGGACACTCAGATAACATTTGCAAATTTACAGAGACTGCAGCTATAAAGATCAAACCCTAGAGACACTTATATACAAATGTGCTTGTTACAGGGCAAGAGCCCAAAACAGCCGTTCATGGGGAAAGGTCACGCAGAACCTTTACTGCTGAATTAACCTGACCAACAAGAAGGGTTGGATCCATCTGCCAGGCTGGAGCCAGGGACTCCCACCAAGTCACTGACTGACCGAGACAGATTTGGCAGAAGGGAGTCTTGGGATGGACCTGGAAAGCTCTACAACATTCAAGCAAACTGAGAACGGCAAAACCAAATCAAGCCAACGGGAGAGCTTTCGAGTGGATGCGTCCCTCTCGGAGGTGGCCAAGCCATCGGGAAGTGAGAACAACCGGAGCAGCTTTTTCCCCCCGTTCCTACCCAGACAGCTGCACAAGCAATCTGCATTCACAATGAGATTGTGCACGACATTACTAGTTGGTTACACAACATCCAGTGGGTAAGAGCTCTGCAATTTAACCATAGTATTGCACGGTGGGCCTTTTGTTTTGCCCAGCGGAGCACTGGCCACACCCTGGTTCTACTGTACAGTGAATCCAAACACCAGGGCTGCGGCCACGCTAGCGGGATTCCTACCTCAGTATCTGCTGCTGCTGCTGCACTTAGCAAAAGCTCACAAAGTGCAGTACAGGTAGGTATATTCACCACCTGGAACACAAGCATACATTCTCTCTCTCTCTCTCTCACACACACACGCATATAAAACTAAAGGAAAAAAGTCAGTACCTACAATGTATAAAACTTATGTGTGTGCTAAAAATGCACAAAACCCGCTTTTATTTTTCATACTTCAGAAGTGCTCAGTAAATCGCCAGACACTGAACACAGGACTCCAGAGGCAGCTGTTGGCCACTCACCTGACATTTCAGGACTTGCCGTTCACAAGCCCAAAGCCCCAGTGGGAGTCCTCGGGATGAAGAACTGCTCCCCTCACTCTGCACCACTCACTCAAGACAGCTTAGAGGGGGGGGTCTTCATAGAACTGATGTTCTCTGGTCTTGCAGCAATTCCCACAACCGCCCCAAGCATAATTAACTGGGTCCTTTGTCTTGTAAGGGCCAGCCACCATGCAAAATGGCATGTACAACCCCATCCCCAAAGACTATTCATTGCCTCTAGGGTCTTCTTGTAAGACAAAGTTCCATCATTTCTCCCTGGGGGAGGGCAACCTCTGGAGAGTCAGGTTCGCTTGAGGGGAGGGGGGAAGGACTGTGTGATTCTAGCCTACGGCCAAGTCTGTAATAACCCTGTGAACGGGATTTCCTAAAGCACTCAGACATTAGCATGATTGCTGCATTGCAAATTCTCTCAGATGGGTTTATGATTGTTCACAGGCGATCATCAACTGATATGTTAACATACGAAGCTGCCTTAGACCTAGATGGACCATCCAGCCCAGCAATGGTCTTCCGGGGCCTTTCCCCCAGAGATCTTTTCGCTACCAACTAGATCAGAAGCCCTTGGTACGTGCTCTACCAATGAGCTGTGGTCTCTCTTGCGTGGTGAACCTCCCCACCACCACGGAAATCTGACCAAGAGCCATCCTCCCCCAGTCGAGCACATGGAAGGATATACCTAGTCCTAAGTAGCGTTTACACTACAGGAAGGGTCAACCACAACGGGATGGTTCCCTGACAAGTTGGGCGTAGAGCCAGCTGGGCTGGCTAGCAAGGGGAACTAGTCCAGAGGAGCACCTGCTTGCTATAATGTTCCTTCCCGATCCCTCCAGGCTTGCGGCCTTTCATAAGGTAACGGGAATGCACATCCCACACCAGTTCCTCCTATCAAATCCAGCTACACGCTCTGGCTTGGAGACAGTTCTGCGAAAGGCAAGGAACCCAAGGAGATATAGGAGAGATGCGTGAAGCGATTCTTTGATTCCAGTTCTGGCCGTGACCAATGGAGTGAACGTCATTAGCCACAATATTCACAGCTGTGTTAACACAAGTCAATGTATTCCTCACGGCCTGATTTAAGCTGATTATTTAAGGCTTCAATAAACCCCACTATGTAGGGCCAAACTGCACATATTTTTTGGCGAGTTGGGCTGGGGTTCCCTGGACTTGACTTCCTTTCCCTGTTGTTGTAATGGCAGCTGTGGGGAAAGGCATTTTTAAAGTCCCCAGAAGCCCAATTCAGCTTGGAACGCAGCATGGGGTGAGCAGAGGTTCCTGTCTTCCCCTCCACACTGTTTCCCTGAGCTGAAACGTCCCCTGAAGGAAGTTATTTGCATAACTTTGGAGCAGCATGTGTTGGGAATACTCTATGCGCAGCTCCAAAGGTACACAAATAGTCCCCTGCAGTGGGTGTTTCAGCTTGGGAAAATGCTGTGGAAGGCAAGGCAGGATTCCCCTCCTCTCCACGTGGCAGTTCCAAACAGATTAGGCTCCTGGGGACTTCAGAAATGCCTTTCCCTGCAGCTGCTGTGTGACTGCAGGGAAAACCAGAAGAGTATGGGGAATCCCAACCAGACTTGCCAAAACACATTAACATGTAGTTTGGCCCTAAGTGAGCATGATAACCAGTTTAAAATGAAAACCACTGTGAAGAACAGGGAGGGAGAGAGAAGAACTTGAAGTGACTATGCAAACTGGGTGAGCTTGTTAGTTTAAAAAGCTACGGGGCTCCTCCAACATCACCATCTCCCCCTCCCCAAACACTTGTGTACCTAAAAAAGCACAGAGCCGGTCAGAGGCCTGCGTTTCTTTGCAGGTCACCAAGTTTACCAGCCACAGTACAAGACTTGCAGTGTTACAGGAAAGCAAAACAGGTTGTTACTCGCCATATCCAAACCAGCATCTCCGTACTTTGCACGCCTCCTCTCCCCTGCAAAAACGCTTAAGTGTGCATACTCTTTACCCTCACGATTTCCTCTTTCGAGATAGTGTTAGAAGCTACACGATGATCAAACTGTGCCCCAGAGTCTCTCTTTGGCTTGTGTTCTAATCAGCCAGGGATTGTTATTTTGTTTTGTTTTTTTAAAGACACAGCCTAGAAGTTCCAAACTCCAGCCTTCTCTGTTTGAGGACTGAGCAAAAGAATGTGGGGACAGCTAGAAATTCCATAACAGCTGGCAGCTCTCTACACTTTTCTTCAAAATCTGCTTCCTCGATACTACAGTCCAGAAGTTGCTACTGTTTTAAGTCTCCCTACAACACAATTTTTCATGGTTTCCTTTCCAAAATGTAAAAAGGGAAGGGGGGGAGGGAGACGACAAAAAGCTATCCATGCCATTTCCTTTCCTCTTGAAAAATAAAGTTTCTTTAAAAAATCCTTCACACTCTTCCCATAGCCCGTGGGGAAAATGTGCCGCTTCCACAATCCATTTAAAGAGGGCAACCCAACCAGAATGGAGAATGACAGCAATAGCCAAGAGGCACGATTCTAAACTAGAACAGAAGAGTAGTGTTCAAAAAGAGGTGGGGGGGAGAAGTGGAGCTTATTTCTGAAGTTCGGTCCACGGATTATTGTCCATCTGTATCTCTGGTGTGCAAACAGTTGCTCAAATTTATTTCTGACCGGCAGTAAGCTTTTTAAAATTTTCCTTTATACAATGGTATTCAGGGAACAGTGACTGTGTCGGCTTCCTGCCAGAGTCTCTGCTGGTGCGCCTTCACTTAAGGGTGTATCGGGAGGTACAAGAAGGGTACTGCTGTCGGCAGAGTCTTCCAGTTCCACTGGGGAAGGGCCAACCGAAGGAGGAAGTGACTCCTCTGTGAGTTGTGGTGATACGTCGCCGTTCCCTAGCGACGGCTGGCTGGTCAGTCCTGTCTGGGAATGGATGCCATCTAAAAATGAATGGGAAGAAGGTGTTAGGAGGCAAGGGGAATCATCGCAGCCAAAGGCTACGTTCATAACACATATTGCTATAGCGCTTCCGAGTGTTCAAAGAGATTCAAGTACATTACAGCTTGCTGCAATTCTGACAGCAACCGTGTAAGGCAAGTGAGCGTTCTTCGTCCCCTCTGCCTGCATCAGAAAGGGGAGTGTATTGCCCAAGGATCATGTGGCCTTTCCCTCCAGAGCTTCTTACATCAGTGGCCATTCCAGCTGGCCATTCTGCAATTCAAGAGACGGTAGACCTGAACCCAAGTCATGTTGTTGTGTCTTCCAGAACACACTGGATCTACTGCTGAGAACATAAGATCGGGGCTATTTTTGGGCAGGAACACACAGGAACGGAGTTCTGACTCACTTCAGAGTTGGCCACGCCCACTACAGCCCAAACCTCTGTGTGCGTGGCTACAGAGGGAAGGCCTGGAGAGCGACCCCTCTGGTGACTCCGAGGCAGGTGGGGCAGGGGTGGTCCTGGAAGGATTGGGGAGGCATTTAAATGCCTCCCTGTGCCTTCCCTGGCCTGTCCAAGGGCCGGCTTGCTTGGGCTCCCCGCAGTTGCGGAGCACCCGGGCAAGCCAAGGGAAGACATGGGGGTGTGGCCTAATAGGCTAATGAGCTGCACTGTCAGGGTGTGGCCTATTATGCTAATGAGTTCCTGCTGGGCTTTTTCCACGAAAAAAGCCCTGCATAAGATGCATGCTTTACCAGGAGCAGAGGAAGTCATTCTCTTGGAGGCCACCCTCTTGGCTGGTCTGAAGCCCAGAAATTCATTTTGTAGCACCACACAGCCCGTTATGGGGTGGCTGGCTACTATAATACCATTAGCACCACACAGCCATGATATTTCTCAATTTTACGATGATAATAACTGCCTTGATGGTTCAGCCCAGAGGTCAGTTTATACATAAAGATATCATATCCAGACTTCTCTCCAATGGAGAACCAAAGCAGCTTACAACACCAACCCCCCCCCCTCCATTTTATTGTAGCAACCACCCGGCGAGGTAGGGCAGGCTGAGCAAAAGTGACTGACCCAAGGTTAGCCCTCAAGCTTCCACGGCAGAGTGGGGACTCAAGGTTAGAGATGTAAAATTTCCGGAAATTTTGAAGCTCGGAAAAAAACCCATTTTTTTCCCGGTTTTTTTCGGGGGGAAACGGAAATTTTCGGAAAAATTGAAAAAAATGCTACATTAGCATTTTTCCAGAACACACTGGATCTACTGCTGAGAACATAAAATGCATGCTTCACCAGGAGCAGAGGAAGTCATTAGGCCAGGGCTAGTCAGTCTCTTGGAGGCCACCCTCTTGGCTGGTCTGAAGCCCAGAAATTCATTTTGTAGCACCACACAGCCCGTTATGGGGTGGCTGGCTACTATAATACCATTAGCACCACACAGCCATGATATTTCTCAATTTTACGATGATAATAACTGCCTTGATGGTTCAGCCCAGAGGTCAGTTTATACATAAAGATATCATATCCAGACTTCTCTCCAATGGAGAACCAAAGCAGCTTACAACACCAATCCCCCCCCCTCTCCATTTTATTGTAGCAACCACCCGGTGAGGTAGGGTAGGCTGAGCAAAAGTGACTGACCCAAGATTAGCCCTCAAGCTTCCACGGCAGAGTGGGGACTCAAACCTGGGGCTCCCAGATCCTAACGTGACCCTCTAGCCACTACGCTAAGCTGCCTCAGGTCCATCTAGTCAGGCACCGTTTCCAATTATAACCAACCAGATCCAGTGACCAACCTACTGAGGAGGGATGTGAGAGAGGTTTATAAAATTACATATGGGGTCCTTCTACCAAAATTCTAGAACTTGAGAGAGTCCAAAGAAGTTCATGGGCAGCAGATTCAGGAAGGACAAAAGGTAATATTTCTTCACACATATGATAAAAATGCGGAATTCTCTGCCAGAGGATGTAATGATGCCCACAACCATAGACAGCTTTAAAAAGAAGATTAGACGGATTCACGGAAAATAGGGCCTCTCATGGCTACTAGCTACGGTGACTAAAAGGAACCTCCACTTCAGAGACTGAACTTCTGAATGCCAGTGCCAGGAGGCAACATGAGGGGAAGGCCTTGGGCTCTATGCCCTGTTGTTTGCCGTCCATAGTAAATGGTTGGCCACTGTGAGAGACAGAATGCTGGACAAGATGGATCACTGATCTGATCCAGCAGGGCTCTTTTTATGTTCATATGCCTCTGAGAGGAGGCTCACCAGCCAGACACACAAGAAAAATATTGGCGAAGCTCCATTTGCTTGTGCCCCAATACTTGATCTTCAGATATGCTGCCTCTGAAGATGGAGGCTCCATTCTCAGATATCATGGTTAACAGCAGATAGTAGACTTGACCTCCCTGAATTTACTTCATCCTTCATAAGGATCATAAGAGCAGCCAACCTACTCCAGGCATTCCGCTCCCAACAATGGTCAGCCAGATACTTCCAGGTGGTCTGCAAACAGGGAACTTGTAAATAAATGAAGTGGCGAAGAGACCGATAACGGATTAGCCATGGCAGAGTGGGATGTACTGAGGACAGCGCCAGTTAAATGACAACTACATGGCATCTTAGCAAGCCCCTGGCAACACTCCGGTGGCGTACCTGGGGGAGAACAAAGGATGCCATCTGGGTTGATGGAAGCCTCGTAGGGGGGAGGTGGGTCATCTGGATGCTGAATATCCGGATATTTGTAAGCCGTGTAGGGTGGAGGAGGGTCATGGAAATGGAAAGCCCCGCCCTCCCCATCGTCAGAAAGATGTAGCGGAGTGAGGCCGGTTCCAAAACCATCCGGGCCGTAATCAAAACCAGGCATCCTGCGGCCCAAGTTGAAATGATGCACTGCAAAGGGGAGGGGGGGAACAGAACCAAAATGAAAATTCATTATTACAGCACTTGCCCATCCTTGGCCATTCATCCTGCACAGAATCCCACCTAAAAGGGCTACTACAAAGCTGGTTTCAAAAGCTCAGTTCTGCTACAGCAATGAGAACAGTGCTCAGTCATAACTATCACCCAGAAATCTACATGGGCTGCTGAAGGTCTCTGCTTGGTATCTACAACGCTCCCCCCTCAGCTACCTTCCTAAACTCTCCATCCCTATTCTAAAATGGGGTTCTTTGTGATATAATAAACCCATTATCTAGGCTGCACCCTTTCAGGCAGCCCGTGAGGATTCATGCCACTGAGTGGTCTTCCATGGCAGAAACAGTATCTCTAGCATACAGAAATCTAGCACATCCAGGAAGCCTTCTCTGCTAATTTTCCACACAGGAGGCCTTTTTTGGTATTCAGCTGTAAGAGACCCCACCTGCAGTAGTGCAGTCCAGAGTCTGGTTTACCACTGAATAATTTGACTTAAGTCTGTGACAGGGAGGGGGCCTGAAGAACAGAGCAGAGATAGCGCAACAGCCACCTGAAGACGAAAATTAATTCTGAAGGGCTAGCTGCATTAGCCTGCTGTGCACACACAGTCTTATGGCACCTTACAGACTAGCCCATTTTTACTGTGGTGGCAGCTTTCTTGGACAAGGGCCCACTTCAGAGGCATGCATAAGATGCCTGACAAAACAGGCTGTATTCCGTAACAGCTCCTGCTGCAAGACTCCTGCTTGTTTTTCGGGGGGGGGGGGGGGGCCAAGACGATACAGGACTGGCTGGCTTCCAGAGCCTGGCAACTTACAGTTCGCCCCGATCAAGGACTCGATGCGCTCTCGACGCCTCTGTCGCAGCCGGTGGACCATGAAGAGCAACAGGGATAATATCAGAAAGGAGGAGATGCAGCTCACGATGAGACGCATGCCACTTGCCATAGAGTCAAAGAGGCTGTTGCCGTCTGTGAGAAGAATCCAAAAAACAACAGGTTCAGTGATGCGGAATAAAACCGCTCTAGGTTATCTCTTTCAAACTGGTGGAAAAGTGCCGTCAAGTCACAGCTGACTTATGGCAGCCCTGGTAAGCTTTTCAAGGCGAGAGGTAAACAGAGGTTTGCTATTGCCTGCCTCTGCACAGCGACCCTCCCATCCAAGTACTAACCAGGGTCAATTTTGTTTAGCTTCTGAGATCTGCCTACAGCCTGGGGTGTCCAGGTCAGGGCCTCTTTCAAACTATATGGAGGGAAATATCTTCAAAAAACTACCTTACGAAGGGAGGGGGAAGAAACAAGTTCTCCATGGCAAGACATTGATGCAGACCTCATTAGAGTAAGGGCAGTCAAAAGACCTTCACCTAAGGAGAACTTTTGATTAAAAGCAAAAGACCAGTTGTGGAACAAGAGACCAGTAGAAATGATGCACTACTAGAAATTTACACTCACAGTTTTGATAATGCAAGAAACCCTCCAGGTCAGGAGGAAAATTCACTGTTTCTCCCCAAATCAAAGATTTTTTAAAATTACTGAGTACATTCCAACAGTAGGAATTTTCTACTCCAAATCTCAGGAACCAGTTCCCAGCATCCTTGGGAATATCAACCAAGATTGATGCACAAAGAGAAGAGATCACACATGGCCCACCCTATTAAAACATCTTTGCAGTGATGACAGCTTGAAGTAAAGCCCTCGGTATTTTCCTGAGCTCAGGATAAAAAACAATACATGACTCCAAAACTGTGAATCAGATTCACAGTCACTGCTCTCGGTTTCATACATGCCTCACTTTTTCTGTGGACAGTTATTAAAAGGAAGCTCACACTATCCAAAGTACAAGGGATGTGTCTGCGCACACCCTACAAAACCTTAAAGCCGAGATGATAACAAAGATGTACGCAACACCAAGTATTTGGAAAAGAACACAAGATGCACCACGGCTGCAGAGCATAAAAATCACACAGTTAAGCCAATTTAGCCCCATTTGATGCAGTCCTACCGAAGTCACACAATAACAGTCTAGCCTGCATGCTCTGTGAGTTACAATGAGAAAGAGGGGGGAGGGGGGACACAAAACCAGAACCTTTAGGCCTCTCCCCATTAAATGGATAAACTCACCCAAGCCTACTAATGTGAATGCTCAGCAAATTCTTCTAACTGTAGAGCAACCACACCCCTCCAATTCTCTACAGAAAAATCTGCCTGCTCCTTCTCGACATGCATTTGGCAGAGTGCACTCTGCCCAAGGAAAGCACCTGCCATAATAAACATCTTCAGTGTGCCACAAGCCACTTGTTCTGTTACAAACAAACAAACCCGCAATCACAGCTTCCAATCCAGAATTACCCTGCTTTGTGTCATCCCAAACACTGTGCTTCTACTCAAACATGAGTCTTTAAGTGATTAAAAAAATTACTCTTAAGAGGAGATCCCAGAGTATGGCTGCAGGGCACACCATACAGCAACCTTTCTGTAACTAAGTCTGGAACTGTTCAGTGCCCAGACGGGAGATTCCTGAGAATCTTCCCTGTATACTGCCTTCAGCGTCACAGCAGGAGGATGGAGAGGGCATCATTGCAATAAAACTAGAAATGCGAACAAATCAACCACAAGAACAATTTTGCAGCCCTTGAACTGTAGCTGAACTTACCAGTTTCAAGAGAAATGCCAGTATCATTTGCCTCTGGGTCCCTCTCTCTTAGTAGAGAGAGGATTGTGGCCACAGTGAAGAGCAGAAAGCCATTTTCCCCTCTTTATGAATATCCAAAATACACCACGTACAACACAAGAGGTGTCAGTGAAGAAAACAGCCAGTTAATGTGGCATTTAGCACCTTGTTTGTTCTGTACCAGATCTTCCTCCTCTTCTTGCCTTAGAGACTCTGCCCATTTTCCCAAACCCAAGCCACTGCTTTCCCCTTCCCAGCCTCTCTCAAGATTAGCCTCTAACTGTTGATAAAAAGGGTTGACTGTTCACCTCCTTAAGGTCAGGAACTGGACTCTAGTCTGCAAGTAAAAGGATGGATGAAAAGGCCAAGGAAGGGCTTCCCTCCCTCTGTCCCCTCTCTTCCACGAAACCTGTACGTTTGCTCATGAAAGTCTATAGCTCTTGCATGTGCATCTGCAAGCAAATGAATGATATTCCTGGCTGAGACTGCCAAAAGCATCCTTCTGCTTGTTCCACCCTACTGAGAACCACCACAACCTTCTTCCTGAATGAATGACAGTCCACGGACCATTCGTCTCCCTGGCTATGTACAATGTCCAGCATGAAAGAGGGAGCACGTCCATGGCCAGTGCCTCTGATGACCACCACTGGTCATCTCTAGTCTTCCTCACTGAGAGTATTAAGTCCCCTGATTAAATCTTGTGGAAGAGAACGCAGGAGCCAGGGCAGGAGAAAGGACAACCGGAATACTGGTGTGGGGCTCAGAGGAAGACCCAAGTAGTTACCCTGACCCTGAATGCCAGGAAAGCGTGAACACAGTCCTTCAGAGGTCTAATAAGGCAGCAAAAAAGTTCTTGCTGACTCCATGTTTAATGTGGGAGGTATGGCTGCTGGCAAGAAACACTTCCACAGGGGTGATGCTGCCATATCTGCCAAAGACTTCTCTACAGGACTCGGAGCTCTTGCGAGAGAAATCAGCTCCTGCCCCAGTCCAGATGTAGGGCTGGAATGGAGATTTTCCACCCAGTAGCAACTTACGCGACGAACATCTTGCAAATGTGGCAAAGTACAAACGACACAGAAAGAGCTTCTAGAGGAAAGTATTGTTCTCCTGCTGTGTATGAAATGGCCCTCAAAGTGATGGGCTACAGGAAGATGCGGAAAGACGGGCTCCGGCTTCCCACTGAAAGTATAGTAAAATGGTAAGCCAGTCTGCCGGATGCAAATTACTCTGGGAGGAAAATAAGTGTGTCTCAGCCTGACTCTGCATCAAAAGAAGCTTTAATTCTGCCTAGTGTACTTCCTTGAAATTAGAAGACACATAATAAAACACCTTACGATAATCGTATCGTCGGGAGAAATCTTTTATGGTAAGCGTGTAGGCAGTTGAACTGTTTGCATTCCATACAAATAGAATTAGGAAGGTTTTAATCTGATTTTATACCAAGAGGTGCAGGCTTTTAGAAAACAAGAACACAAACCCTACCCTGAAAGAATTAAGTACAGGCCCTCTCGAGAATATGAGCTGTTAACAGCCAGTGTTTTTTCGTTGCTGCCCCACTGTTACAGAATAGCCCCCCAAAAGGGGGTGAGGCAAGCAAGCATCAACCTTTGGGGCCTTCTGGGAAGGCAATGAGAGAAAACAATGCTGCACCTACCTGTAACAGTTGTTCATCAAGTGGTCACTGGTCACCTGTGCAGTCACACGTCGGAAGTGCGCATGCACAAACTGGCCTGCACGGTTTCCATGTGGAATTGCACAAAAACCACTATGATGAATTTGTTATGGAACAGCCTGAAAAGGTTCTGGCTTATTTGTTTGTGTTTTAACAGATGACTTCCATATTGTATTTATTGCTTACCACCTGCCTGAGGTCCTGACTGTATGTACACTTTAAACATAAGGAACAATAATATAAAGGTCCCATTTTATTGAGTTTTAGACACCCCTCCCTTTCTAACTATCTCCAATACTGTTCTACCAGCCAGCACCAGGGCTTCCTATTCAGCAATTGGGGGGGGGGGGTTTTGCAGCCTGAAGACATCCAAACTAAGTTCAGAAAGTGCCTGGAACTTGATCCCAGTCAGTACTGGCTGAAGTCTCCGGCCAATACCAACAGCCTGACAAGCAAATATTTCACAGCTGAAGTATTAAAGCACAGGGTACATTTTAAAGAGGTAAGAACAGATCCCCATGGCACCTTAAAAGCTAAAGCATTTATTCACTGTATCTATAATGTTCTGGAAGCCAGGACTCTCTTCATCGGACACAAAGGGGCTCTGGCTCTCAAAATGCTCGTGCCATGATAAATATGTTATCCTTTAAAGGTGCCAGAGAGTCTCCGAAGTCCTGACGGCAGCAGATTAACATGGGCTACCCTTCTGGAATGTTAAGAACAGGTTCTCTCAACGACTGCAAGACTGCTACATATATTTCACAAATCCATACTTTTGCTGATAGCCTTTTTAAAAAAGCCTCTCTCATTTCACCGACATACCAGAAAACATGAGAGTCCATATACGGTTATTCATTGTGCTCTAAGTATGTTAAAAGTACCCAGTTTCAGAGTGGAGGGGGATGGCTCTCCATTTTAGCACTACCAAGGACAAACATTACTCATTTGAGCTGCAAACGAGGAAATTTTCAGGGAGCTGGATCTTTACGGAGTCGTAAGCATGGCTTCAAACAGCAACAGCACCACCTGCAGGCTATCTGTGGCTGTTTGCCACTTAATTTCATCACAAAAATGCCTTTCAAGATGACACGATTGGCTCCGAATGGACAAAACTTTTGCTGTAATATCCTCAAGTTTTGGGTGATGCCCTTTTGGGGGAGTGATACCTTTTGGGCGGGGAGGAGTTCTATGGACTGAGTTACTCCTCTCCCCCCCCCCGGCGGAATTAAACGGAATGCGCCCTTGCCACAGGATATTCACTTGTACATGCAGGATTTGTTAGCTTTTCTGGCACCTCCATCCTCCCAGACTAACATAAGAAGAAGAAAGTGCAGCAAGAACAGTTGCTGCTTCAGTTCAATGCTAGGCGTGGTTTCAGGAAGGGGTCCTCTCCTCTTCCTTTAATAAGGGCTAAGCAGATTCGGCCCTGGTTAACATTTGGATGGGAGACTGCCAAGGAATTCCAGATTTGCTGCACAGAGGCAGGCAACGACAAAACGAAGACAAGGAGGAGGAGGAGACTGGATTTATACTGCACCCTTCACTCGGAGTCTTAGAGCGGCTTATAAACTCCTTTCCCTTCCCCTCCCCTCAACAGACACCCTCTGTGAGAGAGTTCTTTCCAGAACTGTCCTTGAGAGAACTGCTCTGACAGAACTATGGCTTGCCCAAGGTCATCCAGCAGCTGCAAGTGGAGGAGTGGGGAAACAAACCCGGTTCTCCCAAATTAGAGTCCGTGCACTTAACCACTACACCAAACTGGCTCTCAAACCATCTGACAAACCATCTCTGAACATCTCTTGCCTTGAAAACCATACGGGATTGCTGTAAGTCAGTTGCGGCTCGATGGAACTTTCCACCACTGCTGTCACCACCAACCCCACCCTACAGACCATTTACTTGAAGCGACAATTTATTTATTGAATCTATTTCCTTCATTTATACCCCACCCTTCTCCCCAATGATGACCTAAAGCGCCTTACGTTGTTCTCCTCACCACTGCCCGGCGAGGTCGGTTTGGCTAAGGGAGAGAGAGCAACCAGCCCCGGGCCACCCAGCAAGCTCCCGCAACCAGTTTAAAAACACCGAAGAAACAGTGCCGAACCTGCCAAAGCACCCTAGGTAGTCAAATGTGACACGGGGATGCTTGAGCAGCAGTATCACTGCTGCCTTCCAGTGCAGCACCCGCAACACAGCACTATATTGCAGCAAATCAGGGCCGGCCCAGTGCCGTGACTGCAGCTGGACAGGGAGACCAGGGGCCTGACCCCTACTCACCCGTGAAGCTCACTGGGAGACCTTGGATCAGACATGCTCTCTCTCTCTCTCTCTCTCTCTCTCTCTCTCTCGCAGCCTGACCTATTTCACAGGTCCGTGTACAACATCACAAACCCCAAAGAGAAAGAGTGGGATAAAAGCAGGTGGACAGAAAACCCAGGAAGTCTCAATGGCTCTTGCTCTAAAATGTCGGCCATACAGACTTTCAGAGCCCAAGACAAAATTGTCTGCGATCCTGTGGATATTCTCTGTGCATCCTGCAATGGAGGGAAAGCTCCTTACGACAGGAAAAAAGTGCCTCCACTCGTGAAAAAAATAGGGTTGACAGCTCAGGGTGGGGAAATACTTGGCGCCTTACGTTGTTCTCCTCACCACTGCCCGGCGAGGTCGGTTTGGCTAAGGGAGAGAGAGCAACCAGCCCCGGGCCACCCAGCAAGCTCCCGCAACCAGTTTAAAAACACCGAAGAAACAGTGCCGAACCTGCAGGGTACAACGCCGTAGTGTCAACCCTCTAAAGCAGCCATTCCTCCTGGGTAACTGATCTCTGTCTTAGGCAGATCAACTCTAATAGCAGGCGATCTCCCAGCCCCACTTGGAGGTTTGCAACCCTAGGAAAGAATCTGCGAGGATCCATCTCTGTTTGCCAGAAATGTATTTGTGTATCCCATTCCTCTCCCACCTTTCTTCTGCTCTGGAACTCAGGAGCTCCTTATCCTTCGGCTGGGACTGCGCTCTCAAAATGTCCACTGCCGTCTGCTTGACAGCCATGAATGGCCATGATTTGCCATGAGCAGTGACAAAGCTGTGTCGTATTTATATCGGCTGGCCTCTGAAGCACTTCCCCTTCTGTTTCTCCCTCTCATACAGCAAAGCAAGTTTAATCAAGTGTATCTGACAGAGGGCCACAGATTCAGAAAATGCTCACCTGCGATGAAGCCGGGCTGATTAAGTTTTAAAACGGGTTAAAGAGGCTCAATTAGAAGTACATCCATTCAGAGAGTGATACTGATTTTTATCCGCTTTGGCATCCATTGACTAATTTCTCAGCTTTTGTGAACACACAGGATGCACAAACCAGTGCATGGGATAAGCATATATATGGACCACCATACTAATAACCTTTTAAGCGTTATGCCCATATGCATGGAACACTGCCTGAACAGATAAAAGCTTTCCACCCATCTCCAGGCAAGAGCCGTAAGGTTTAAGATTGGCCTCTATCAGTGCTCAGCAATGGATAAACAAAGACAGAAGGGAGCATGCTTGATGCCAAAGGCAGCAGAGTGAGCACAATACTGGTAGAGAAACAATTTAACCAGCAAGATGCACCACTATAGGTTTGAAACACAAAACCACCAGCGGCTTGGACTTTAAAATGCAACAGCAGTATGCGTTGAGATGCAATCTTAGTTCCCAGATCAGTATTTATAACATGGAAATTACATGAGACATCACAGAGAGCCCATTCCATTGCCCGATACACTCATCTAGAGCAGCATTCAGTGACTGTGCATGCTGACACATTATTTAAGAAGCTGAGTAGTTTGGTTTGAGCTTCCAGACATGCAAAAGGCAAACCCTAGTTTACAGTCACTGTGGATTTTAGTCAACAGTTTACAGGCACAGCCAAGCTCCCGCTCCTACACCACCCATTCACAGTTGATAGCTAGGAGAGGCCTTCCCTTGGATTTCTCTTTCCATGGGAGGACACAGAGGAATACAGTAGGATGGGCGGGGCTTGTTGCTGGCTAAGGGAGGGGGAAGGAACTGAAACACTGACTAGCTTTCTGCCCATCATGAGCCATCTGAACTTCAAGACAGGGCTGGCGCCGCCTGGAGCCAGTTTGCCCGGCAAGGCGGGATATAAATTGAAAGTAATAAATAAATAAATAAAATACCACAGCTACAAAAATACACAAAGCATACTTGCATTTTTTTTTTTCACTCCGGGAAAAGGTTTCCAGGATATAGCGTTCCTTCCAGCCAAGAAAGATACTCTAACAAAGGCACAATTACTTGTATTCTCAAGATAAAGCTAATAACCTGGCTCCGCTCCTACCTGGATCTAAGCACGTAAATCTGCAGCACTCCTTGGGGTCTTTGAGGTACTGCTGGCAGCCCTGCGGCCGTTCACACAGGGCCGCCACGCACATCTCCGGCTCTCCTTTGTGACACGTGCAGCTCAAACACGGATCGTCTCCCTTGGGGGTGAAATAGTAGCCTTCATCCACAATGTTGTCTTTGATATCCACACAGGTTTGGCCTGAAACAAACAGAGACAGCCCAGGGCCACGTCAGTCCCTGTTGCAGGATGCTTGCCGCACGAGAGAGACATTCTAAGGAGCAGGACTGCGATTGGAAGGCCTAATTCTCGGGAATCCTTTGCACAAGGGAAATGCTCCCTGAGCTCAGAGGTACTGGCCGGGCTGAACAGGTGGGGGCTCTGGGCATCTCTGGGCAATGGCTGCTTTACAATTCAAGCTTTCCAGACAATCTTTTCATTGGTCAACAAACACACATCTGTTGCACAGCAGGAGAAGCATCTGGATCTTCTGAAACAGATGCACCAGCTGTTGAAACAAAGTCCCTTCTCTCAGCACTTAAACCCCACTATTTTTGTTCCTGGAGCAATACGAATCTTTCCCCAAGCCACTGCACACACCACTGTTGTACGTATTGTGCAGGAAGTGACGTTGCAGGTATCACTGGTGTGTATTGGCTAGTACCACTTACATCACAAGTAATCAGCAACGCTCACAAATTACAGATGAAAAGATTTTCACTTCCCCCAATTCTACACAAGGCAATGTTTTTCAAACGGTGACCTAGAGCAGAGAGCCTTGTGCAGACATTTAATCCAAGGAGAGACAGTGAGGCACAGTAGTTGGAGTGCCCAACTGACACTGGGGGAAGCTGGATTACAAATTCCAACTCAGCCATGAATTTGGACCAGCTACTCTGTCTTACCAACCCTCATAGGATTATCATAAAAGATGAACTAGTAAATGGATGAACTGGGTACACCACCCTGAACTGACTGAGTTGGATCCTACAGCTCTGGTCCAGAGGGACCCCTCACGTAGCAGGAGGGAGTCTGATGGGATCAGCTCACCAGATTTAGTAGCATCTTCGGTTATCCACTGCTGCACAATTAAAGCAGACAGCAGTGATTCAAGAGATAGACGGTACAGCCCTGGTCCAAACCCACCCACGGCAATTTATTTCAAGACATCTTGGTCTCTGACACACGCGTGTAAAATAAAAAGTTACAGACCTCCTCCATAATCCCAGTGCTTCAAGGCCTGTTTTCTGTGATATAAACTGACTTGCTTGGATCATCTGAAGACCTATTCTGTGTCCCATGGCCACTGGAGGTCTTGCACCCAGGCACACTTAACAGGGCCTTCTTGGTGTTGGCCCTAAGACTGGAACGTCCCCCCCACCCAAAGTACATCTGGCCTTTTCCCCCTAAGTTCTAGAAAGCTTGTCAAAGCCACCCTCTTCCATCAATGTATTGAGGCTAAGCTAATAAAGGTAACACATTGCTTCTTGTTCTCCTTTTATCATCCCTGTTGACACTAGACCTTTAGTGGTTAGTGGATAGTTTTGTTTCTCTTAATATTTGGCTAGGTTGCCCATAAATCACCAATTCACTGTCTCTCACTATCATGCATTGTTTTCAGCTGTCTCAACATAAGACACACCTTGATAGTTTTTTACTGAAATGCAGGATGTGGGAGGGAGGGTTAGTAAACAGAAAGAGCAAAAATGGGATTTTTGCCTGCTTGAACTCTCGAGCACAGGAGGTACCGATATAAAACAGAAACCTCCAAGCAGGCAACTCACTTCTTTTGCAAAGGAATGAAGATTTCTCATAGCAGTTTTCAGCATACCAGCTGTGAAAACCACGATGCCGAAGGGTCGGGAAGTGCGAACACTGAAACTGGGCACAAAGGATGTTTTCATTTTCAGACACAGCCGAGCTAAATGTAGGCTTAGGGGGCAAAAATACTTCCGATGAACCTAGAAGGACAAGAATTCATTATAGCGCAGGTACAAAAGAAGCTGTTAATAAGTCATTTAGGGCCCCATTCAAGAAAATCACTCAAATGGCCACCTGGTCTAAATATTCAGAACGAGAGGGCCATGATGTACGGAAAGCCTTCAAGTGGCAACATAGCCCAGTTTATGCATGCTGGCTGCACCATTTCATAATGCAGGTGAAGAACCACATTTTGGAATGCTCCCTATTGCTTTAAACTCCCTGCAAATGGAAAACCAGACAGGGGGGACAGAACCTCTCTCCCTCTGTGGAAGTTTCCCCCTCGCATGGACTTTTCTGTGCAAAAGAACATTCAAAGGTGACAAGCCATGCGCTGACTCAAGTTGAGAGACAGCTCCAGACTTTCCAAGTGACACCCTCCCGCCACCCTCCCAATTCCAAGTAGTGCACACACACAGCCTTGACCTCTATGCTGTGCTCCTTGGCTCTCCAGGGCAACTGGCTAGCCACTGAGCAGAACAGGATGCTAGGCTAGGTGGAACACCAGACTGATCTAGCAGGGCTCTTGTTATGTTCTTAAAATAAACGTAGCCGGGGAGACTCATCGCCAATTACAGTTGTTTTAACTTTGAGCGTTATGGACAGGCATCACAGTCTATACATTTCACAGTCTTAAAACGACCATTATGCAATTCCCCCCCCCCCTAAAATGTATCATATTTTCAATCTATTTACAAACTTTTCTCCTGATTGCATATATATTTAGAGTCTTAAGTCAAATTACATTGTCATATATCACACTAATGATTTTAAGATGTATTATGTTTTAATCTATTATATATATTATGTTTTATTATGGCAAGGTCTGCCTTGCCTCTGTAAGCCACCCTGAGCTCTTTGGGGAGGGCGGGGTATAAATATAATAAATAAATTAATAAATAATCTCTCTTCATATTAAATTTTACATGTTTAATCCAGTAATAAACCCTTGACCATCTCTTATTCTGTATTTTTTCATCTTTCTCTTGAAGTATTAAACTTAAATTGTCCATTTGTGCTAGTTCTAATAATTTTACTACTAGGTCCTCTTTGGAGGGTATTTTATCCAATTTCCAATTTTTAGCCACTAGAATTCTTGCAGCTGTTATAATATATACCATTAAATATACATCTTGCTTATCAAAACCTTTTGGGATTATATTCAACAAGTATGTTTCTGGAGTTAGCTTAACGTCTATATTCAAAATTTATGAAATAACTTTATAAACCATTTTCCAGTATGTTTGAATCTTATTACAATTCCACCACATGTGGTCAAAAGTCCCCACATTTTACTTGCATCTCCAACATTTGTTGGATGATTGTGGGTAACACTTCGCTATTTTATCTGGGGACCAATACCACCTGTGGAACATTTTATAAATGTTTTCCTTATAAGATATGGCTCTCATAAATTTTGCTGACTTCCATATGGCATCCCATTGCCCATTATGCAATTTTTTTCATGTGCATTTTGTACATGTACATAATTACTTCAGGCATCTGTGGTTTTTTACAACCCACGAAATCTTGCACCATAATAAATTCTTATCAAGACTGCTGCTAAATCATGAAAATATGTCTGAATCTCAGAAGATAAAATTCTTATCAGCAAACAAGAAATGCAAAGAAGTGTACACGGACAGCAGCCTTTTCTTTGGCAGCGGCTAAAATACATTGAAGGGTTTTTTTACTTGAGCAGTTAACTTTCACAATGGTCTTTGACTTATTATTTTTGTTGGTGAGAGATACAACAGTACCTGTAATTTTACCAAAGTTTGGTTCCTCGGTTGGTATTTTAGTGCATTACTGAACTGATGTTTTGCTACCATATGACAATTACACACCTGTGTAATAAATCTGTACGATGCCAGAAGGTGACTTTTTGACTTTGCACAGGATTTGTAAAAATTCTTCCACATGCATTTAAAATACCGGCCTTATGAAGCTACAGGACTCCAGAACAGTACCGGCAGATGTGTCCCATCCCCATATGCACAGTCCGCCCTGGTATCATAGCTCTACCACACCTTTTCATATACACAACGCAGTTGAGTATGCAACCATTGCGTCGTAGTTCCAGCACTACTTCTGCAAGTCCAGGAGATGGCAGTATTGCTCTCACAAAACTGAAAAATCCAAGAAAAGGAACCCAAAGCTTCAACAGAAGCTCTCGCAGTTGCATCTTATGACAAATGAGGTTTTTCCTTTGGAAAAAATGGTGACATGTACCTTGAGTGCCATATGCAGTTTTGCCAGCAGATGGCAATCCAGGGATTACCTCCCGACTCTTCCCCCACCCAGTAACATGAGTTGTGTAAGACAATCAACAAAAAGCATAACACGTACCAATTAACATGCAACTGCACAAGAAACATAATGCCACCCTTGTACCAGAATTAAACACAAAATGCTGAAGTACTTGGTCTTTAAGCTCTAAGAGACCGCTAAAAATATTCTCTTCCCCTTAGCTGCTACTGTGTGGATTTCCAAATTAGTTCGCAAAAGTGGGAATGAGCCAGAAACATTTCGGGTCCACTTGAGCCGGAACACATCTCCTTCTCACTCACTCGCATGCCAGAATAGGCAGAGCTGTTAGGGATAGCAGAAGGTAACCCCCAGAGATGCCAAAGGGAGAGGCAAAGGGCACAAGGTTCGATGCACACTAGTTGCCAGAGGTACACGTGAGCTGGTAAGACGTCCAAGGCAGCATAGTGGGTTAGGAGTGCTGGACCAGGACCAGGAAGGCAGGAGTACAAATCCCAGCAAATCACAAAGCTCAGGTTGGGCCAGGGCAATTTACCAATCTTCTACCTCAACCTCACAAAATTGATTTGATTTGATTTATTTAATTTGCTACCCCGCCCGCTCAGCCTAGGCCAGCTCAGGGCGGCTTACAGAGCAGAATAAAAATTCTAATGGTACATAAAACACAATAATTTCCAATAATACAATTCCAATAATACATAAAACACAATCAACCTAAATACAGTGTTAAAATCAACATCATAAGAAAGTGCTAGCAAAGTTCCACTTTTCAACATTAACTCCATTGGTCTGCTTCAGTTGTCTTAAGGGGAGACGGGTTTGGGCAGTAGTTAGAGGGACCAGTGGATTCGAGCTCACCCACCGTAAAATGTCAACTGTTGTCAGTAATAGCAACGGCGCTCGTGATGGTGGTAACTGTGGTGAAGAGCGCAGAGAGGAGGTCACCCTGAGCTTCTTAAAGGAAGGGCCACGATAAAAACGTTAACTTCAAAAAATGGTGACCATGGAGGATTGGGTGTGGCTTACCCTTCTGTTTTCACACTTACGCAAGAGGGAGCCTGAGCATCACTATGGAACCTTTTATAGCACTGCACGAATACTTGCACAGTTGTCTGCAGAACAGCAGGAGCGGCTAGTTTCCTTTGACTTGTGGCTCACTGGACCCCATGCGGAAGTTGCAGGCAACAAACTTCACAACTGGGACCTCTGGGGAAGGGGGGGGGCACAGAGTGCGAGAGATAATTGCAAGGACTTCTAGAGGATAGGAAGGAAAAGGCTCAAGTGCGAACCTGTGACTGCTTTACAAACAAGGATTATGGATTGGAATGGGAGGCGGCACTGCTGCAATCCAACACTGCCACTAACAGGCTCAGCACAGAAATTCCCCGAGCCAAACCTATTTACAAACTTTTAAAATATGGATTTAAAATAAAATATTATTTTATTTGGCTTAAGATGACCCAAACCTTTTTTATATGATTTTTCCATTACTTACCACTCCCCCTTGACTCACCTCCCTTTTGTTTTGTCATTTCAAACATATATGTGACGAAAACCATTACAAATGTGCTTTTAGCTGGCTTCAGTCCTTAATCAGGGACGCACGAGAATCCATGCCTCTTTTCAGTTCTTACCTTTATAGGTGACTTCCCAGTGACCTTCCAGAGAATGGTTGCGGTTCGTGATGACAAACTGATATCCAACCCATAATCTACAATGGGAGATTTTCAAAAGACTTATTGTAGAATGCTAAAGAGGAAGAACATTTTTCGAAATCCAAATATAGACAGGTCACGAGGAGAGGAGTATGTACTCCAGAATATCCTGAAGCTGACCCGTCACTCTTAAACAAGATCTCTTAAAGATTTCATTAACAGAAAAGGATAGACAGACGTCTCTAAAACCAATAACATTAGCAGGAATAATCTTGGGAATGGCAAGGAACACCCAACGCAGGGAAATCTTGCTATGATGTTCTTGTAGTTGCAAGTAAACCCTGACATTCCATGTTTTGCAATCCAATCTCAGTGAGATGATCCATCACTGACATTCCAGAAAGGGCAAGCTGGACCTCTATCTTGGGGAAAAATTACTCCCCAGTACTAATCCATGGCACTGTTATGAAATACTTCTCTACAATGTATAACAAAATTAAGATGCAAACAATATGAACAATCAGGGCTCTTTTTGTAGAAAAAGCCCAGCAGGAACCCATTAGCATAATAGGCCACACCCAACAGCAGGAACTCATTAGCATATTGGGCCACACCCCTGACAGCACAGCTCATTAGCACATTAGGCCACTCCCCCATGTTACCAGAAGTGTGCTCATCCAGCCACACCCACCTTTTGCTTGTTATTCTGTTTACCTTGTTTGTTGTCAAAACCCAGGGCCTTTTTTTGTAGCAGGAACTCCTTTGCATGTTAGGCCACACACCCCTAATGTAGCCAATCCTAATGAGTTCCTGCTATTGGGTGTGGCCTATTATGCTAATGAGTTCCTGCTGGGCGTGACCAACTCGGGAGCCAGCCGGAACTCCGTTCCTGTGCGTTCCTGCCCAAAAATAGCCCTGTGAACAATCAAACAGCAGCTCAAATATAGGAAATGCACTTGGTGACACAGTGGCAGCAGTAATATGAGCAGAAGACCAGCTTGCTAAGCCCGAGGAAAGTTCTCTCAAACTGACAATTTTTAAAAAAAAATCATGAAAAGACTATAGAAGCGGTGGAAACAGAGGTCATTTTGGGGGGGATCGCGGGGGATCGCAGTTCCCCCGGGTGAGGTACGGGGGGCGGGGCACATGATGAAGGCCCCCCCCCGCTTCCGGCCGCCCCGCTTCCGGCCCTCATTCAGCCAGGAGGAGGCAGGAGAAGAGGGAGGATAAGTTGCTTCCTCCCTGCCTCTCCCCACCCCTGCCTGCCTGGGGCCAGGGAGGGCCTTTGCAGGGCTTCCTCGCACTCCCACCGGCCTTGCAGGTCCACCGCCGGGCCCCTGATGTCAGGGGGTGTGGCATATGCTAATGAGTTATGCTAATGAGTTCCCCTAGCTCTTTTTCTACGAAACGACCCCTGGGTAGAAATGCAGACTTCCACAGGCAGGCAGCTCCAAAGCAGCAGCACAAATACCAAGCCTGCCCTGCTCCAAGTCCATGCCAATCTCTCCTTTGAAAAGGAAGGTAAGAACCTCTGGAGGAGAAGCTGTTCTGCCGAACTCAGGAGACGAGAGGAAGTGGGGAAGCTGCTCACTCAAGGACACAGAACCCAAGCTGCGTAGCACTCTAGAGGCAAAAATCAACACCTCAAATTGGACCCAGAAGCCAACTGGCAGCCTGTGCAGAGGTTATGAGGTGTACTGTGCTACCTGTGGCCCATTCTAACTAAAAAGCAGGACACAGAAACCAGGATCAAACCTTCATGTTTAGTTGTCAAGCTGAATTGTGAATTAGGCTAGCTGCAGCTCCCAGAACACGTCCAAGGGCAGCCCCATGAGACAGCTCATTGTAGTGCTCTAAATGGAGGTCACCGCGCACTATTTTTAAACATCAGAATATCTAGACAAAGGGAAATGATCTCAGGAGGGAGGAGGCAGGCAAAGGCCAGACTTCAAAATCACAGATACATAGCTTTGTATTTTCAGCTGCCTTGAAGAGATCCCAGGACTGCCACTGTACACAATTAAACAGCAGCCTATGCAAGTGTATGCCTTCAGTTGTCTGCAATCTGATAGAGCAGGTCGAGAGAGAAGTACTTTTCTCCCTTTCTCACAATACAAGAACTCGTGGGCACTCAATGAAACTGCTGAGCAGTTGGGTTAGAACGGATAAAAGGAAGTACTTCTTCACCCATAGAGTGATTATTTATTTATTTATTTATTTCATTGTATTTATACCCCGCCCTTCCCGCAAACGGGCTCATGGAATTTACTGCCATAGGAGGTGGTGGCAGCTACAAGCATGGACAGCCTCAAAAGATAATTGGATGAACATATGGAGCAGACATCTCTCAGTGGCTATTAGCCACAAGGTATAAATGGGAACTCTCGGTCTGGGGCAAGTGATGCTCTGTATTCTTGGTGCTTGGGGGGGGGGGCAACAGTGGGAGGGCTTCTAGTGTCCTGGCCCCACTGGTGGACCTCCTGTTGGCACTTGGTATTTTTGGCCACTTGGACTGGATGGGCCATTGGCCTGATCCAACATTGGCTTCTCTTATATTCTTAAGAGATGACAGCACAACTCAGTTCACAACACAGAATGACAATTCAATCCAAAGACTCTTGTCGCAACAAAAATAAGTACGGCTAAAGCCAATGAATTACAGATTCTGCGTTGGTGGAAAATGCGACAGCGGGAAGCTGTAGCAACAGTGTCCTGCCAAACTTTAACAGCTACTGGGTCTCTTGACTAAGGGGGGGGGGACATGATAAAGGTTTATAAAATTATGCATGGGGTGGAAAGAGTTGACAAAGAGAAGTTTTTCTCTCTCTCCCAAAATACTAGAACCTGACGGGATCCAATGAAGCTGATGGGTAATAGGTTCAGGATAGACAAACGGAAATATGACTTTACACAGAGAGTCATTAAAATGTTGAATTCACTGCCAGAGGATGTAGCAATGGCCACAAGAATAAACAGCTTTAAAAGAGGATTGATAGATCTATGGAGGATAGGTCTAACAGTGGCTACTAGCCATGGTGATTAAAGGGAATCTCCATGTTCAGAGGCAGTTAACCCCTTAATCCCAGAGCCAGGAGGCAACATCAGGGGAAGGCCTCTATGCCCTGTTGTCAGCATTCCAAAGGAACTGGTTGGCCACTGTGTGAGACAGGATGCTGGACTAGATGGACCATTGGTGTGATCCAACAGGGCTCGTCTTACATTCTTAAGACCATCTGTGACACCCAGGTTATTTTTTTGTCAGGGCACACTTCCAGGAGGGAAGCCCTTATCAGCAAAAAAAGACACTGCAAGGTCTGGGGGGAGGTTGGAAGGAAAGCAGAGGACTGATACCTGGGACACACCGTCTTGCCATCCTCTTTATCAACTGCTAGTCTTAATGTTCTCTCAGGTCCCCACAGGCACTGCAGCATTCAGTGAATTTATTTGTGGTGGGGACCCTGAACCAAAAGGCATCTCAGCAACAGTCTAATTCTAAAAGGTTTATTGATTTTAATAAGGCACTTCAGAAGCCAAAGCAAGCTGAAAAGCAGCATATGAATAGATCCATCAGCCAATTTAGCAGAAAACACATGCTCAATTGAACTACTGTTCAAGTTGTTGTCAGAAAGCTTTCTTTCTCTTACAAAGGAATTTCAAAGGGAGATTAGATAGACTGTTGAATTGCAACTGATAATGAAGCTCAAGATTCCCGGACTGAATCGAGACGTAGGTTTCCTGTCCCATTATCAGTGCTCATTTTTCCACGCCTACTACCCCCCTCTGCATATCACACCTAACCCAATCAAGCTTGCTATTGTCATTCGACATCTAAAATCACTCCACTCTCCAAGATACAAGGACAGACGAACTCACATTCTAGCTGTATCTGAAGACGTGAGCAGTGACTCAAGAAAGCTCATACCCTGCCACAAATTTTGTTAGTCTTTAAGGCACTACCACACTCTTGCTCTTTTCTACTTGTTTCCTTGGGGAACTGTTCCCTGCTCTGGGCATGCTCACCTCCGTTGGTCCTTCCTCCCAAAGGCCTTCTCTTCCGAGTCCCACTCCTGCTGCAAGATGAACTTGAGCTCCAGGTCAGTGGTGAAGGTGGCCAGTGAACCGTTCACCCTCTGGCATGTCTGCACGGCATCCCAGTAGTTCTCCCCATTCAAATACACCCGGTAGCAACTGGCAGTGCCATCGTAGTGATGCCATCCTGATGGGCATTTCCCTAGGAAGCATAAAGAAGAGAAGGGAAACAGTTCCCCCCCAGGTCAGGATCTCAACCTGGTACGTCATATTTTTAGCAGATAGGGAAAATGTTTATTACAGTGGAGGCTCAGTTCTGTGCCAGTTCAGACTGGAAGTGGGGACTCACGTAACTGGATGATCCTCAATTTTTTTAAAAGCCTTCTTCATACTAGTGGAGGTGGAAGAAGGTAGATGAGATCCCTCTTTCCAGACCATGCCTGCTTTCTACAAGAGGAGATGCTAAAAGATCTGTGATATCCAGGCCACTTGCTACATAGCAGCAAGAAGGGGCCCAAAATGGCTCCCTTGAGTTGCCATTAGCCTCTTGGGATGAATATATAGGCAATTTGTACATTCCCCCCCCAACAAGGGGAAACAGTACCTGATCAGCATGTGTACACGGAAGTTTGGGAAATGGTCATTCATTCCCTTCATTTATACTCTGCCTTTCTTCCCAAGGGGGACCCCTAAGCAACTTACATTCTTTTTATTCTTTTTTTTCCCTCTCGTTTCCTTAAATGATTTTTTTAAATAATTTTTTTATTCTTTTAATTAAAAGTACAGTTAAAATCACAAGAAGGGATGAACTCGAACACAATACAATATATCTTACAGAGATGTATGCATTGTCATCATTATTAACCAGAGGAATCCCTAGTCATAATCTTGGTGGGCAACTTGCATTCTTCTCCTCCACACCACTGTATCCTCACAACAACCCTGTGAGGTAGGTTAGGCTGAGAGAAAGTAACTGGCCCAAAGGCACCCAGCAAGCTCCCAAATGCTAATCCGACACACTAACCAGCAATGTTCCCTCTAAGCTGTGGAGTCTTGTGAGCAAGAATTCTTTTTTGTGAGCTGCTGGCATTAAAGTTGTGAGCGAGCCATTTGGCTGCTGCATAGTCTGCTCTGGGGCCATCCTTCCTGAGCGAAGACAAAAATGTGTGAGCCGGAGGCTAAAAAACTGTGAGCTAGCTCACACTAACTCGGCTTAGAGGGAACACTGCTAACCAGTACACCACATGGGCCCTCTACATGAGAAAGGATTACATACTATCCTCCCTTGTGGCACTGAGCCAAATCCCTCCCCTCCTTTTTAACAAAGAATTATTCCAGACAGCCAATCATCAGCACCTCATCTTACCTGACCTCACTGGGAATTAAGCCTAATGTGTACTTTGGTGAATTAACTTGTAGAAGGACATTCAGACTTAAGAGAGTAAGCTATAAACAATTGATCAGATAACATGGAATACGCAAAATGTCTACAATATGAGAAATATCCAGATTTGATCCTCATAGTTCCTTTCTGGGCTTGCCAGGCTCAACCATTCATTTCCACAAAGACCACAGTTTCTGGTCTTGCAAAGACTGCCATGTGATTCTCCCATAAACCAAACCTTCAATACCATCCTATCTCAGCATGCACAACTGGCCAAATACACAACCAGCCAAGTGAAAATCAATGACACGTTAATGTGTCTAACGTTGGCTGGACCACGTCCGTGGTAGGTTTATCAATTGCCCTGACAAAACAAATCTGGAAAAGAGATTAAACCATTTGCTCTTGTACTGCAAATTAAACACAACACCAAGTTCCTGTGTTCATTAAAGTTAACCAAAAAATTCAGAGCTGACCTTAAGATGCACACACACAAATCTTACCATAATTCCTGATTTTTTTTCTTTTTCTTTTTTTAAACCATCAAGATAGTAGACCGGGAAAGCTAATAATAGTGTTTAATATACATGGCAGAAGGCAAACATTTAGCTCTCTGTCAAGGATATCCTGAATCACTTTAGTATATATTTCAATAGAGCTTAAAGGCCACTGGAACTAATTTTGTGAGCCACTCGTTGAATGTGCTTTGCATGCTGAAGTGTCTTCTAAAATAATTTACTGGACCTACATAGGGAACCTGGACTCTGCTTTAAAGTCTGCAACTTACTGCTAAACCGAACTGGCTGTGCCACGTTGACAGTGTGAAAGCGGGTTGTGTCGCCACCTCTTCCACGATTATGCCTGGAATCCACATTCTCTTTCCCGTGATAATTTCGCTGGTCCCCGGTAAAATCTAGAGTGGGGGGAAAAGCCCAAATCCGTTAGTAGTAGGAAAGGGATACTTTTTCATTGAATCAACCAAACTACAGAGAACCTCTCCAGGAATTCTTCTTAATGCTCAAACCAACAGATCATCTCAAAGCGCAATTTGCAACTGACCACATTCTAAAGCTGTAGGCAACAACGTGGAACACTTCCAAAAGGGAAAAAAGGTAGTGGTAAAAGCTTCCTACAAATTAAGTTCTCTCTTCTTGGCCAGAGATTTTTGTTCAGTTTACTAATAAATGTCTAGCGCACACATAAGCAAGGACCTTCTAGGGCTTAAAAGTTGGAACTCGCAGACCCATTGCACTAATGCACTGGAGCATTTCCACCAGTGCAAGCAGCCTTGACCTGATGCAAGAGACTCTTCTGCTGAGATTTCAATGAAGACACAACGGAATACAGCAGTCCCATAGAAGCGCTTAGGGCTCTTTAGCTTGGAGAAATGGAGGCCAAGGGGTGAGATGATCGAGATTCATAAGATTATGCATGGGATAGAGCAGGTAGAGAAAGAAGTACTTTTCTTCCTTTCTCACAATACAAGAACTCGTGGGCACTCAATGAAATTGCTGAGCAGTCGGGTTAGAACAGATCAAAGGAAGTACTTCTTCACCCAAAGAGGGATTAACACATGGAATTCACTGCCACAGGAGATGGCGGCGGCTACAAGCATGGACAGCTTCAAGAGGGAATTAGATAAACATATGGAGCAGAGGTCCATCAGTGACTATTAGCCACAAGGTATAGATAAGAACTCTCAGGGGGGGCAAGTAATGCTCTGTATTCTTAGTGCTTGGGGGGGGGCAACAGTGGGAGGACTTCTAGTGTCCTGGCCCCACTGCTGGACCTCCTGATGGCACCTGGTATTTTTGGCCACTGTATGACAGAGTATTGGACTGGATGGGCCACTGGCCTGATGCAACATTGGCTTCTCTTACGTTCTTAGAAGACCAGCAAAAGAGTGAAGAACTAACAACTGAGGCTTTGCTGTATCACCTCAATTACACCTGACATCTTCACAGTATAACTCATGCAACTGCATTATAAAATGCTGGCCTGTCTTCCCAAGTAGATGGATGGATTTCCACTTGCTTCCATCCCAACTTCAGCCAAACTCTGCCCACAAAAATGTAATGCTACTGGAACACACCAGATGTATTTTGCATCTGAGCAGCACATCCACACACTTGTCAGAAAACTAGATTCACAGTCGCTTAATCACAGCAGCACATCCAAATCTATCATGAAAACGGCAAACCCAGGTCACTCAAAGCCAAGCTGAGGTTCTCTACATACTCAAAGGACTCTCCGGGTTTGCAGAAAACGATGACTTGTAAGGAAATCAAAAGACAGACTCTCCTCCAGAAGGCACCCTGGCTTGGAAAGGACAGAATATGCTCCAAGAGCCCAGAATGCTGAGAGCAGCTGAGAGTCCATTAATGGGAGGGGGTATGACGAACCCCTGCTGCTGCTTCTCTGCAAGGCAGGTTTTCCCGCCAAAGCACTCTTCCCCACTCTGACAGAGCAGCCTTTTAGTAGCATATTGGAATTATAGAATTATAACTTTCTGTGTTTCCCACCCAGTGATAGAGAAGCTGTTTGGCTTTTGTCCAGGCCAGAGATCTTTTGCAACTCAGCAACAGCCCTCTTATAAATCCCTTTTTTAAATGGCACTTGACACGAAGTAAAGTTCAAACAGAAAGGTTGATTTTATTGAACAGGCATAGTTGAGTTAGGAATAGGGGAGGGGACAAGATGTTGAGGTAAATATGGTTGTTTATACAAATTATAACATTTTGAACAGGCAACAGAGTACAGTTGAAGCTTACATTCTTAGAGACTCAGTTCTTAACTGTGGGATGTTTGTTTGTCTTGGAGATTTCTTTCAGCGTCAGAGTACCGTTGAAGCTTACATTCTTAGAGATTCAGGTCTTAACTGTGAGGGGTTTGTTTGTCTTAAACCCCTGGTAGCATACAGAATCCTGGAAGAGATCTTGGGAGTGGGATTTCCGAATTGCTCCCCCTTCCCATGATCCTTCTTAGTCATTTAGCTTGGGCAGATAAACACCAAACCGCAGTTAGGGAAGCTTAGCCATTGCTTTGAAACAAGTACTGATCGTCTGGCAAATAAGAATCAGTAACGATGGCCTGAAACAGGCTGTGGACCAGAGTTCATGCCATCAGTCATTTGGCAAGGTATGTGAACTGACAGGTTCTAGCGATGGACATCGTGCCACCTCCAGAGGCCAACACTCCATGAAAGGGAGAGTGCCAACAGAAGATGAAAACGGCTCTAAACAGTGGTTTGAAGGAATGGCCCGTTCCACATCTCTACTTTACCTTGAACATGCAACCATGTTATAACATTTTGAATTTTTCATTCCACAATTCATTTTCTCCATGTGATGCTAATGTCAGGGCTTCATCAATTCCCCCCCCCCCTTTTAAGAGCACTTATGGGGAGATTTTTAATTTCAAGCTGATTGCGAGTCAGCTTGTTCACAGTACAAAATGCTTGAACTGGGTTTTTTGCAGAAAAGACCTACGCTCCCTTAACCATCCTTCTCTGTATCCACGCCCCCTTCTACCATTTCCGCCCCCTTTCCTCTTAACCTCCCTTGCCCTCTCATACTCGCAATTTGTTTCCCCGTATAATGCTGATTCACAATAGAACGGTGGGTTGGGTTTTTTGCATGATCAAATGTGCAATACTGCATTAATGTACTATTTAAAAATGAACCATTCACCATACTCCATCATTGCGAAACAGAGGAAGAAACACAGCAACACGCCCTCAAGAAGCGTTGGCAGACAGATGGCTACAGGATGAGAGGATTGGTGCAGATGACCGCAGGCACAACTGTTGTTCCAGGTATTCCAGGAGACCATGGACAAAAACATGCAGGTCATGCTATCAGTGGTTAATGCAATAAAAAGCATTGCTGAGGCATTTAATACGAAGCAGCTTCCAGTGCCTTCACGAGAGCAAAAGCTATCCCTTGCCATGGCAGTTTACAACATGACAAGGGAAGGGACAGTTCCTCGACACAAAACAGTGCTACACACCACACTGTTAATAGGCGTGTAACTGCTGGGTGTAAGAAGCCACATTTGGACCTATAGTGTTCAAAAATAACGATCTAGACTATTTTTCTATGTGATTGTTAGTTTTCCTGGTGTTGCGCCCTGTGTGGCCCTGCCCAGTCGCCCCACCCTCAGCTATGTTGGAGCTGGCTGGGAGGTATCGCTAGACACCACAGAATTCAGGGCTATGGGGTTACTGCACCACCTTCAGCTATCCCATGTCGGTGGCTCAGCAGTATGTCACTCATGCTCCCTCCCTCTCTCTCTTTCTTGACTGCAAGCTGGCTCACCTCCTTCTTCCTCCCCAGCCTCAGCGTCTTGTCCTCCTTTTATTTCTGCCACTTCCTCCTGCTTTCCATCCCTGTGGTTCCCCTCCCTGTCGATCACCCCTTCTCTCATCCCATAGGCTGGCCCTGCTGCTGCCTTTTCCTCCCCACCCCACCTCCCCTCCTCAGCCACGGTTCTACTCTGGCCCACACCTGGGCCAGGTGGTTGGATCGCTGTTGTCTGTTCTCTCCCGGTCATCCTGCCCCAGCCTTGGCTCTCCGGTAAGCCACCGTCTTCACTTCTCTGTGGCACCTTCCTTTCCCAGGCCGCTCGCTCTTATGGCCATGCCCTCCCCGCCGCGTTCAACCCCGTTGTCTGGCTTGGGTCTTGGATCAGGGCTCCCCATCGTCTGGCCCGTGGCCTCTCCCGGGCCGCCAACTCCATGGCCCGGTGAGGCGAGGCAATCCTCGCCAGACCGGGGCGCAGTTTTTCCCCAGCCTTTTGTGGTGGGCCCAGGATTGCTGTGTCCCGCCGCATGACAGCAGGAAATCCCGGCCCCAGATCAGGGCACCTGGTTTACTTTCAGTTTCATACTTAATTTATTCCCTTTTTAATACAAGTTTGTTTTTAAAAATTCCTTTGCAATAAAATTGAGTTTCAGAAATTACTGGTTTGTCTCTCCCAACTTTGCTCACACAGAGCAAATGGTTTTTTTAATATATATTAACAATGTTTATTTTACTTATATAAAACACAGCCTTCTTTGCCCCCAAAAACAATCTATTTACTTTCTGGAAGACATGACTATAAATAATGACATTATTTCTTTTTGACTCCCTCCACCCCTTTTTACAACTATTTACAGTTTATATACATTTGGGTGCAGTTAATAAAGCACACCCCAGGAAAGAAGCAATCACTGCAGTCCCAGATGTTGCTTTATTCATGCGGTGTCTCTAAGGAATGAAGGTGAGTAACAGAGAAGTAATTCAACAGGGAAGACTCACAAGCGCGCAGGCATTTGTTTTCCAGGAGGGGCTGGTATTCTTCCTCGCCAATGTTTTCTTCCTGGGGTGGCTGCTGCCGACCGCTGTCCTCTTGCCTTGAGGAACCTATAAGAAAAAAAGGAAAGTTATTGCTCCGAACATTAGTCCCCAGGCTGCTAATGCACACATTTGGAAGCTACTCCTCAGCACTACGACAATGTAGTGGCATTTGAAAAAAAATGCTGAAGGACTGGTGTTTAACACTAACCAGGGACGGGGAAACGGGTCCAGCTTGGGGCAAGGATGGGGGTCCTTCCGCTGTTGCCTGCTGCTGGCTCCCCTCGTTTTCTTCAGCCTCCAGTTCTGCTGTTTCTTCTTCCAGTGCCTCTCCCTCCTCTGCACAGGCCTCCTCCGCCTCTTCCATTCTGGCTACCTCAAGTCTGCACGCAGTTGCTGTAACGAAAATGCCAGCATGGCAAATGTCACCTGTACAGTAGTTTCACTTTTTATTATTATTATTATTACAGTCCATGACCAGATCCAGTTAAAAACAAACATTATTCAGATATTCAAATATACAGATTAAGAACTCCGATTAAAATACAGGAATAGAAAATACAGGGATATAAGATTT